CCGCGCCCTGCCCTCCCAGGCCGCGCGTGCGCCCTGCGCCCTCCTGACCATAGGCCTCGGGCCCCCCGTGGCCTCCGCGCCCGCGTGGACGCCTGGCTTTCCCTAGGCAGGCCCCATGACCTCGTTTTAATTAAGCAAAGCGACCGTTCTATGTCCTCCTGACCTATCTGAATTAGGACCGCTTTCTCTTCTTTGGAGAGGGTCACTCACCTCTGTTCTGGAATATTCTGAAAGGGAGAAATACCCAGAAACACCAGGTGTTAACAAATTGTATTTGTTTGTAGGCCTGAACTCTCTCTCTCCTCAGAAAACAGGGCTCTTCTTGTATTTGTTTGTTTATGTGTTTTTGAGACAACGTCTCATTATGTGGCCCAGGGTGGTGTGGGGTCAAGTGGAGATCTTCCCGCCTCAGCCTCCTGAGTGCTGGGATTACAGGTGTGCCCTGCCCGGCCTGACTAGGGGCAGTTTCCTCTCTGAGACCCTCTTACTGGAGAGTGAATGTGGATTCTCAGCTCTACAGGTCTCACCCAAGGTCATTAGAAATATGGGAGCTGGAAATGCTTCACTGGGTTTGCACAGGGCTGAAAACAGGAAATGAGCATTCTGCTTGTATTCAGGCCAAATGAGTTCCCTCTTATCTGATGAGTGCTCTGTTAAATGAGGTTTTGGAAGGTGGACCTGACCAGACAGGCCCGAGTCAGTGCAAAGTTTGCTCACAGTAACTGAACTTTGCTCGAGGCCCTGTGGCCACTTCGCTGTGAACTATTAACTGAGCTACCCCAGTGACGGCTTGATTGAACTGCAGCCTCTCTCCTGTCACCCACCAGTCACCCAGGAGGGAGCTTTGCCCCTCTCTGAACTAGATCTAGGGTTGTGTGTTTGAGAGTTACTCCTTTCACTAGTTTCCATGACTGAACAGGAAGGGTGTTTCTTTCTAGCCTCATTGTAGTCAGTAGGGTAGACTGGATGTGGTGATGTACACCTGTAATCCCAGGTATTAAGGAAGTGGAAATTGGAAGGGGTCCTGGCTAGAGGCCAGCCTCAGCAAAAATTTAGTGATTCCCCTCTTTTCCTCATGTCAACCAACAGATGTGGTAGAGACTGTAATGGATGGATGGAGGCATAGACAGGACTGCAATTTGAGACTAGCCCTGGGGTGGGGGGCGGGGGAGGGAGAGAACCTGAGACCCTATCCAAAAAAAACAAGTGAAGAGGGCCAGGGGTGTGGATGAAGTTGTAGAGCCCGTGGCCTGGCGGGCAGGAAGCACTGGGTGACCCAGCTCTCGTTAGTCTGTGCTCACGGTGTGTGTTGTTTTCCTAAGACAAACTCATCTATTTTTGAGTGTATTTTTTTTCTTCTAATTTTTCGTAAGTTTCTATAGCATAGCATTCACCCACTTTAATGTTTACGCCTCAGTGGTTTGTAGTAAGCTGTCAGAGGGATGGATGCAGAAGTGTGGCAGAGTGTAGGTGGGAGTGTGGGCTGTCCACAGCACAGGCCGGCCTGGGAGCCCCTCCCTCACGCCTGCTCAGATATGGAACTGCTCCTAGTCCAAGGAGCATTTCCAGATACACCCCCTCTTCCCCCAACCTAGCACACACTGGTGTCCTGTTTCTCCTGGGACAGTGATTCATAGTGCCAGCAGACACCACTGCTACTCCTGCCACCCATTCAGGAAGTTGCACTTTTAAAAAAATGTTTTTGGCAGGTGTGCATCACCATGCCCAGATTTTATTGGTTAGGATAGGGTCTCTGGAACTTGTTTTGCCAGGTTAGCTTCAGGTAGCCAAGATTAAAAGCAGGAGCTACTGCACCAGCCCCCATTGAATTTGTCTTTGCTTTTATGAATGAAACTGCTATGAGCAGACATGTGCAGGGCTTCATATGCATGCCTATTTCCATTTCTTTGGGGTAGAATCGTCGCATTGGGATTGCTGGTTCCTATGGTTACTGTGCTTATCGTTTGGAGGGACTGCCAAAGTACCCGCAGCATTCCACCTTCCTCCTGGCAGTGAGTGTGGGTTCCAGTTTCTCCACATCCTTGCAAGCCCCTTGTGTGTTGTTGGGGTGTGAAGCATCTGTCACTGGGTTTTGTCCTAGTGACAAGGGCTATTGGGCATTCTGTACTGTGCTTAGTGGACATCTTTGGTCCTTGGCCTGATTTTCAGTTGTACTGCCTTTTTCCGTGAGTTCTCTCCATATCCAGGATCCAAGTCCTGTATCAGATGGGTGGTATACAAGACTCATAGTTACATGTGGTGAATGGTATGGGTATTTTTTTTGTGGTGCTGGGATTTAAACTCAGGACTTAGTACTTGGCTAGGCAGGTGCTCTACCATTTGAACCATGCCCCAGTGCCTTTTGCTATAGTTATTTTTTTTTGTTGGTCGCGGGGCCTGAACTCTGGGCCTAGATGCTGTCCCTCAGCTCTTCAGCTCAAGGCTAGCGCTCTACCACTTGAGCCACAGCACCACTTCCGGCTTTTTCTGCTTATGTGGTGCTGAGGGATCGAACCCAGGGCCTCATGCATGCAAGGCAAGCGCTCTACCACTGAGCCACCTTTCCAGCCCCAGTTATTTTTTAAAGAGTCTTGAGTTTTTTCGAGGTCCTGTCTCAGATTCTGATCCTCCTACTTATGCATTTTAAGTAGCTGAGATGACAGATGTGCACCATCACACACATGGTTTATCAGTTGAGATGGGGTCTTGCTAACTTTCTGCCTGGGCTGGCCTGTCAGACCACAGTCTTTCTGATCGCCACCTCCTGAGTTGCTGGGATCACAGGAGTGAACCACTGTGCCTGGTCCCACAAAGTTTTAAATTTTAGTGAATTCTAGTTTCTCAGCTTTCTCTTTTATCACTTGTGCTTTTGATATCATATATAAGAAATTTTTGCCCGAGTCCAGATCATGAAGGCTTACTGCCTTGTTTTTCTCTGCAAGTTTTCTAGCTGGAGTGCTTTTACTTAGATGAAGTTTTTTGGTAGTGTTGGAACTTGTGTTACGCAGGCCCTCCACCTCTGGGCTGCATCCCCAGCTCCAAGGACAACTTTGAGTTCATTTGAACATGTGTTGTGGAATAAGAAAGGGTGTGACCATTACAACATTTCCATTATTACTTATTTATGCTAAACCACAATGGAAACCTGATAGTTCATAAGAAAAGGAAGGAAAGAGGGGAACTAAAGAATTGTATTGTATATTGCATCCTAATGAAATGTGCCTCTGTTTGCCAGTGTTGGGTTTGTCGGGACTGCGTCTGCAGATGGGCCAGAGTGAGCCTAGCTAGTGCATAACCACCAGGGCGAAGGCACCTCTTCCACTGGGGCTTGTTCTGTGGACACACAGTCAGCTGGAAAGCATGAATGGGGAATTCTTTGGTGTATTTTATCTCTACCAGTTGGCCTTCAGGATTTGTCCCCAGGCCCTCCTCTAGTTACAGAATATTGAGAGTCAGAAACAGCACTGAGTTCCTGTCCCTGTGGGGCTTGCTCCATGTCTTCGTAAGAGAGGTGGAGTGAGAGTGAGTGGAAGGAAGGGACAACTTCCACAGAGGAGCAGCAAGCAGGCGGGGAGCAGGACCTGAGCCAGCAGAGGGCCCTGGGGGCAGGCGGAGGGCTCCGCAGGTGCTGGCTGGACCTTGTAGCCAGCCAGCCTGGGCCACTGGGCTCACAACCTCTGCGTGTGTGCACTGGCTACACAATTTGTTTACTAGTGGTATATTGAGATAGGGTCTCACTGAGAAGCCCGGACTGGCTTAGAGTTGGCAATTCTGCGCCTGCTTCGTGAGCACTGGGATTCCAGGCGTGCCTCACCATACCAAGCAGCACAATGTAGTTTTTGACTTTCCCAAACCCTTCAGTGGGGAAGAGGCAATAATCCAGGGGATCCCAGGACCCCAGAACTGCTGCCTCCCACCTTTGAGAGGTGAGTTTGACATGCAGCCAGACAGGAGAGGTTGCAGAGTTAAAAACTGTAAAAATCCCATGTAGGCTATTTTTAATAGCTATTTTTTAATTGGTGTCTTTTTTAAGGAACCAATCTCTGGATGCTAATGCCTCCAGTCTTCCGTTGTAAAGGGAGTGCAGGGTGTTGGCAGACATGTTTGTTCACCTTGCTTTGTGCCGACTTGGGCACTGAGGCGTCTGTGGTTTGGGTCTCCACATTAATAAGCAAGCAGGTCTCCAGAAGAGCCTATGGGCCGTGATGCCAACCCACACTGCACCAGGGTGGTCTTCATCTCCCAGCCTCCCTAGCTTGCCCTTTTCTAGCCAAGGCCCCGCTACCTGCTTTACTCAGGCAGGGCAGCCCAGCGGAGCATTGCTTCCTGCTGTTTCCCTGTCTTTTCCTCTCGCTGTGTAGACCAGGGCAGTGGCAGGCGGTCGTGGACATTCCATGGCTGGTAATGAATGCACTGATGGTGTGTTGCTTGTGGACCTCCGTGTGAATCTGCCCACAGCACTGTGGGCTCTCTGATCCCGCATGCCCACGCCCGGCACTGTGCAGTGTGTGTGCATGGTACGTGCACTGCACAGACATGGCTGCTGGAGGAGGTTTTCTTCTCCTGCATGTGCTCCTGCCTGAACGAGGCAGCCTTCCCCCTGTATCCAGTGCCTTGGCCCCTCAGCCTTTCCGTGCCCTTCCTCTGGCCAGGGCAGGGGCTGCTTTCCTGTTGTCCCCCACAGCCTCTGTCCCCCAACTGCCTGCTCTCTTGGCTGGGAAATGTGAGGAAGAGGAGATAGAATCCAAGCAAATGTCCACCCAAACTCCCAAGTGAAGATCTGCTTTGGGAAAGTGCCAGAAGGTTCTGGAAACGTCTTTCTCCCCTGTAGCGGTTGTCCAGAAGAGTGTTTGCCAAAGCCAGTGAAGTGATGCTGAAAGCTGCCTGGCCAAATCTCTTCCCCTCTCCCCTTGGGACAATCTGAAGGGTTGTTGATGGGGAGTTTGGCAAGTCTCTCCTCTGCCAGTGGTGAGTGTGACCGTCAGGTGGGCACTTTGAAGTGTATGTGACTCTGAGGATAAGGCAGAGGCTGGGTGGATTCATGAGGGGACTTAGGAGGGTGACTGAGGTTGCTGACACCATTAATTATTCAGGGGAAGAGGACACTTGTATTCCTCTCACCCTCAGCACACAGTTCAGCAGCTTTTCATAAATTCACCCAGCCATGCAGCCTTCCCTGCATCACGTTATCATCCCTAAAAGAAGTCTAAACTCCATAGCTGTCCATAAGCCCTGAACTCCAACCACCCACTATGAAGGCCCTGTGTCTGAGGCATTAGATCTGGCCCTTTTACCCAGGACTCTGAAGTAGTTAAACTAGAAGGCATCTCGGCATGGGGATATTGTTGAGCTACTGTATCTTACCACTGAAATAAGACAGTTCCTGGAAAAGATGAAGGCTATCATGGAAAAAGTTTAGTTGGAATTCACCGTGCAGATTGCCACTGGGAGGAACTGGGAAAATTGAATTTCGTTGATGTCTCTTTAGCCAGGAAGGATGCAGGCAGCTGTTTCGAGACCAAAGCTCTGTCCACACAATGGGAGGGTCAGGACTTTGGGGGAAGCTGGTAGCCTATATAATCCCCTCAGGTGTTTTCTGGGTCTCACTGTGGGCCCCCAGCATCCTGTCTGCTAAAACAAGGTCCAAGTGACTGCACTGTTGCCATGGTAATAGTTCAGCCTGGTCCAAAAAATGTTTTACATGCATTAACTTAATGAATTCACAACAGAACCTTTGAGAGAGCTCTGGTCACTGTTAAGTTACACATGGGGAGACCAAGGCTCAGAGAGTGGGAGGACTTGGATGTGTCACACAGAAGGTGAAGAATAGAAATGGGATTTTACCATAGACGGGGGAGCCCCAGATTCCTAGCTCCACCAGGACCAGGTAAGGACTTAGGAGATGGAGACCCAAAGTGGCACCGGGGCATTACCTCCCCACCAAGCCCTCGCGTCCTCTGTGCTCTCAGCCCTGCCTCCAGCTCTGGCTGACCGGCACTCAGGCACTCAGGCACTTACTGTCCCCTGCCTGGAGTGCGCTCAGCCTCTTCAGTCACCCTGCAGTCTATAAAAAAGCACGGTGCACCTAGTTAGGTCCTTTGAGGCCATCTCTCCTGGTGTTCTGCAAGATCTCCAGGCAGGAGATCTATTGGCATTGCTCGCTGCCCGATGTCTGTCCAATGAGCATGGGCTAGCTGCCCCCAGCAGCCCAGACCTGAATCCCCAGTCACGTGATAGTAATGAGGAGTCCCTGCCATTGGGCTGCTCGGCTAGTTCCTTACCATTTCAACTGTGAGCATGGCTTCTCTTTACAAGAGATGAGAGGGCTGTATAATACAATCCACCTTGAATCCCAGAAGTTAATGTAGGCAACAGGTCTGGCACACCACAGATCAGATTACTGAAGTGCCGGTCCCAATGCCCTGCTCACTCTCCTTGCCTTCTCCATCACTGGCTTCAAGAGGTGCATTTATTATAATCAGTGGGTAACTAGTGACAGCAACAGGATCGATGAGATTTTGAACTTTCAGAGTAATATATTTTAAAGTCAGCTTCCAGTAACAATTAATACATATTCCCAAAGGCATAATAAAATGAATGAAAGGAAATACTTTGGCAGAGACAAATCCAAGAAACCATTTTGTTTCTGACATTGGAAGTGCACACTGAAAAGAGAATTGCAGTTTGAACATCTGTTTTTCAGGCAGGATTTTTGGCACTTGAACAGTCTGATAAGGAGGATTAATGGTGAGGCATTGTGCAACGGCCCCTGGACTTCTAGATTCTTCTTTACATGCAGTTCCTTTGCAGCTGATTAAACTATTTAAACAATACTCATAGGTCTTTTCTTCTTTACTTTTTTTTTTTTTTGGCAGGGGGTTGGTTGTGGGGCTTGAACTCTGGGCCTGAGCACTGTCCTTCAGCTCTTCAGATCGAGGCTAGCGCTCTACCACTTGAGCCACAGCACCACTTTCCTCATAGACCTTTTCTGTACACAGTATAATATTCCCCCAAATCCTTTTCTTAAGTGCTAGTTCTGGGGCTTGAACTTGGGGCCTGGACACTGTCTCTGATTTGTTTTGTGTGTGTGTGTGTGTGTGTTCCCAAGGCTAGTGCTCTACCACTTGAGCCACAGCTTCATTTCTGGCTTTTTGGTGATTAGAGATAAAAATTTCACTTACTTTTCTGCCCGGGCCTGGCCTCTACCCACAATCTTCAGATCTCTGTTCTTGCATAGCTAGGACTACAGGCATGAACCATCAGCACTCAGCCTCCAAATCCATTATTTATCCCTCAACTTTGAGAGATGTTGCATGGTCCTTTGTAGCCAGGGAGGGGACACTGGGAAGACATGTTATTGTCCATGTGGCACATGAGCCAGATTTCCAGGGCCAATGGCGGTAACTCAGAGATTGTTCTCTGGCTTGTTGGCATAGGCATAGGCTCTCCTAGCTGATAACCCCATCTGACCCTACGCCAGGGGCTTCAGGAGGGACAGGCAGTTTGTGCTGGTTTCTGGCCTTCACCCTCCACCAATTTATGTGCCTCATCTCTCTCTCACGCTCAGCGTGGGCACAGCAGCAGGCTGGCTTTGTACTGCAGAGGCCCCTGGGGCCATGCGGGCTATGGTAAGGCTGGGAACATAAGACCTTGAGTGAGGCCCAACGTCTCTCCCCCATCTGTGGCCAATCCACAAGCCAAAGGTCTTCCCTGAGAATCCATAAGTCTACGCACAGCCATGGAACTCATCAGTCAAAAATGTTGGCAGCAACCTTGAAATTTTACACATACTGCGTGGGTCCAACAGAACATGTCTGCTAGCCAGATCTTGAGTTTGTTGTGTCTGGAGATCGCCAGTTAGCACCCCGAGAGGATGATGTCTTGCGCTCTGCACCAGCCCAATGCTGTTGGCAGGGACAGTTGGTAGGAGACAGAGAAAGCTCTGGGCCTTGCCAATATTATTTTTATGCCTTTAACTGAAACATTCCATTCAGAGGAAACTTCTCAGAGACAAAAATGTCCACATGGACACAGACAGCAGCCCAGAGCCCATCCCATCTGCACTGTGGCTCTCTCCCTAGTCCAGAAGCTGCTCAGTAGCTGTGTCTCCACTGGACCTTGAGCCCCCTAGCCAGGCCTCAGTTTCCCACTGTAGTTCACTGGAAGACAGCTCTGAGGATGCAGGGCGTAAGTGGTGCGCAGCGGGCTTCCATCTGCTGAGCTCCCAGCCTCTCTTACAGGCCAGGTGCAAACTGGAGGTTCGGTGACTTAACAGGAGGTGAGGGCTGGGTTTTACATCACCATCTGGGGCCAGCTCAGTGGTGGCCCCTGACCTGCCTCCTGCCCCCTGCCTCCTGTTCTATGTGCCTCCATTGTGGGTAGCCAATGATGTATTCATAACAAGAAGAGTACAGACACCAAAAAATTGGGATATCAGGGCTGGGAAGGTGGCTCAGTGGTAGAATGCTTGCCTTGCATGCATGAGGCCCTGAGTTCGATTCTTCAGCACCACATAAGCAGAAAAAGCTGGAAGTGGTGCTATGGCTCGAGTGGTAGAGCGCTCGCCTTGAGCTGAAGAACTGAGGGACAGAACCCAGGCCCAGAGTTCAGGCCTCAGGACTGGCAAAAAAAAAAAAAAAAAGAGGTGCCATTTCCCTCACTGTAGGACAATAACTCCTGGGTCAGGCCTGGCCGTGCAGATCTGTAATCCCAGCTACTGGGGAGGCAGAGACAGGAAGGTGGCAGCCTGGGCAAATGTACAAGATCCCACTACAAAAACAAACTGCCAATTCAGAAAGTCTGGGGGAATGACTCAGGTGACGGGGCATTTGCCTGGGAAGCATGAGTCCCTGAGATAACCCAAGTACCCTGGGAGAAAACCCCAAAACTTGTTTATTCTCCCTTGCTGGCTTTGATAAAGCAAAGCTGCTGGAGGACCTGAGCGTGGCCTCTGGGCCACAGCCTGCTCGAAATGGGTGTCCTCAAGTTCCAAAGCCACATGGCCAAATCCTGCCAACCACCCACTCGCTAGGCCTGAGTGGATCTTCAGCCAAGGCCTGGGAACCGGCCAGCAGGAGTGCAGCTAGAGTGCAGATGACAGGCCGGGCCATCGTCCTGGGAGCTAGCAGACAGAAGATAGGTCTTTTTTTTAATTTGTGGTAATTTGTTACACAGCAGTGCATAGCTAAGTCACAGTCTTCTTTGAATTCCTTAGATTGAATTTACTGTGACTGCTCTCACTGTAGCTGGCCTAGATGTTGTAGCTAACCAAAGGTCCCTGAGCCTCTTTGTGCTCAAGATTAGCACTGTACTCTTGAGCCATAGCACCATTTCTGGCTTTTTATGATTAATTGGAGATCAGAAGCTCACGAACTTTCTCAGGCTGGCTTTGAACCACGATCCTCAGATTTCAATCTCCTGTGTAGCTAGGATGACAGGATGACAAGTGTGAGTCCACTGGTGCCAAGCATTGAAAGGAAATTTAAAAGGTGATAACTAGAGAATCCTTCAGAATACTGAGGGAATGTAGGACCAAATTCCTGAACTAGACAGAAGCAGGAAAAAATAGAAATGAAAACCAAAAC